AATTGATAGTAACTGTTGAAGCAGCAGGGCAGAAAGAGATCATTGATATTATTTCAGAAATAAAATCATGAAAATTCTTCAGTGCTTTCCTCAAAGTCCATGAATCATTTGCATATGCACAGCAGATGTCATTACATGTGAATTCCTTGCAATGAATATTGGATTATACACTGACATCTGTACTTCATTCTGAGATATTTAACTCCCTGGTTCCATTGGATGAGGAATGCCATTCTCTAAGGACCCTTCCCTACTCTTCTTCAATTTGCATATTTTTTCTAAAAAGGTTTCCTATGGGCTACAAAGTTAGATAAAATCTGCATTTTGACACAATGTGAAATAACAGCTGGTTAGGTATTTACACCACTTTAGATGGTTTTAAACACGATTATATTACTACATGAATTTGTTTGATTGAGAATATAACTTCCTCGTAGAGCAGAAGTCTATATCACTAATGTACATTATCGATTTATCTTTGTTTCCCCTCTTTGAACAAACTGTAAATTTTGTGAGCTAAGGGATATGGGGATGATCTGTGAGGGAAAAGAATAAGCAAGGTACATGGCTTTATTAAGTTTATCCCCAGGAATAAAATGACAAAATCTATAAGAACGTGTAAGATTTTAGAGAAAAGGTGGTAGTGATAAGGACCAAGGCCAAGGCCTTGTTCATACTATGCTAACTTTCTACTCCTAAGCTTCAGCCCCAGCCTGGACCTCAGAAAATTTCTCAACTGTATTCTGTTAGACAACCTTGATTTGTTCATTTATTTTTTTTGCAGTGATTATGAGCACAGTCCTTAAAAAGTGAGATACTTCTTGTGATTATTGTAAGAACAATAAATAAGATGATATTTGAGCAACATGCACCAGAAACCTGAAAAGAATCCTCCAAATAAAGTAGGTGGCACCTTTAAAAATATACAGAAAGACAGCTGAATGTCCAGCAAGGAAGGGGCTCCAGGCAAAGAGTTGCTCCCTAGGTTAAAGTCTGTCAGGAATCCTATGGATGATTCCTATATTCCATGGAATGAACTCAATAACTGCAAAAGTTTCTTCAAATCTAATATTTTTCAGTTTATAATATCTAGTAGAAAGTGGTAGGATTTGCTTCCATAGAGATTTCAAGGTAAATTCTATAGTTAGGTGAGAATTGCAATATGGTCACTGCTAATATTTTAATATCATCATTGAAATTTCATCAAGAAGTCTTGGAGTTAAGGTGATAGGGTGTTTTTTTAGCATTCAAATAATTTCACTGGAGCTATTTTACCTAAAATGTCATATGACATAAATCACATATACATAATATGTAATGATCCTATAGGGATCTATCTGTTTATGTCATGTTGTTTTAGGTGATACCATAAAAGTACCTAGGACTCACTAGTGTCACAAGAATTTGCTATCTCTATAGCCCTTGCTCTCAAGCTACAAATCTTTGAAGACTATATTTGGTCCTGGATAATATAAAATATGGATTTGTGTTCAATGAATTGGCTTTACTGAGTAAGGTGTCCTTCTTTTTGACATGAGATCTTTCCCTATAGAAAATAAGACCTGAGGTACTGTAGTAAATTTTCATGTATCTGGGTCTTCTATGAGGTCAATACACAGAAAGCTCCTGAAATCTCAGTCTTATTCAGTGTCGAAAGATCTGTACATTGGTAAGAGGAATAAAATATCTATGTCCCTGAACTTATCATCTGGGACCAATTAAAGATGAAGTACAATTAGGACCAAGTCTCTATGACTGAATACCTTTATTTTAACTCACCAGAATTTTATTTCCTGGACTCCTTCAACTTTCACGAAAATGTACAAACAGCAATGAAAAGGCTCAGTGAGGAAAGTAGGTTATATATTTGGATTAAGGCAAGTTCAGATCAATCTGCTCACCTTACACTTCAACAAAATTTGAGAAAGTAAAAATGGAAAATCAACTTTATAATAGTTGCCATCAATATTTGTTAAGCCTACCATGTCAACTCAGCCCCAACACACAAGCCACACCTTTGACAGCTCACCTCCTCCCTCCAGGAGGAAACAGAGGGTATGATGACCTGGGCAGAAACAGGAAGTAGGAAGGCAGTGTCCCAGCTCAGAAAATTCAAGAACATACATAGGTATTCAATATTTATTTATTGAGCATCAACGATGAGCCAGATGTGATACTGAATATCTCAAATATATGATCTTAATGATCTCATTTAATATTTTTATCAGGTATATAAATTGGGTGCTCTTATTAGCTTTCAGATCATGGCTTTTAAGTGCTACAAATGCCTCAGTCATCTACTAATAAACAGGAAAATGGACTGATATATTATTCATAAAATTATCAAATGCAAGACAAAATAAGAAAGACTTTTATGATTAACAGTCATTAATCAGAACCTCCTAATCTCCAAGGATTCCTTTTAATCAGGATTTTATCCATCTTGCAGTATAGTTCTCAAAAGATGGAGATGCATTTAAAATAATTATTTTAAGTAATGTTGTTATAATCAGCATCAGAACTTTTCAGTTGTAGCATTAGTTCTTGATTATCAGCTGCCAAATCTTTGATCATGTGGCTTAATTTAATGAGCTACCTGCCTCCACTTTTTGACAGTAAATGAGTTCATTAACATTCACTGTGTTAACATGGTACTAGGCACAAAGGGATATGGTTGTGGGGTAGAGATCTTCCCCTCCCCAGAAGAACTTAAAATCCTACAGTGAGAATCTTGTTTTAATTCACTTAGGATAAAGTAATTATTATAAACATCTGTTTATCAGTCTTTTTGACAAGTGTGTACAGTGTTATTACTCCCATTCCATACATTATAAAACAAGGATTAAGAGAGATTACATGATGCATTAGTTAATTTTCTGTTGCTGTCCTTAAAGAGCATGGCCCAAAGTGAATTATGGAAGTGTTTATTTTGGCTTATGGTTCCAGAGGAATAAGAGTCCATCATGTAGGTGAAGCATGGCACTAAAAAGCAGACATGTAGCAAGAACAAGAAGCTAACATCTTCAACACCAAACATGAAGCTGCCAGAGGACACTGGAAGTGGGGCATAGCTATGACTTTTCAAAGCCCACCTTGAATGAGACACTTCTTATAATAAGGCTATACCTTACCTCCTAAAGACCCCATAACCTCCCCAAATAGCACCATCAGCTGGGGACCAACTGTTCAAATACTTATGCCTAGGGGGAACATTTCTCATTCAATTTACCAATATAATCTAACTAGTAAGGAAAATGTAGAATGTGCATCATAGTCTGTTGGGCTCTTTCCCTTATACCATTTTATCTTTCATGGAACTTGATTTGATCAGTGTAACATTTCAGAGAGAAATGTTAAGAAAAGTTTTGGGATAGTACACTAATTACATTTGTGGGGATTATATACATACAACACCATACAAACTATTTTTTTTCAGTTCTAGTCATGGCAGAAAATTAGTAAGATACGGATATGATGTAATAAATGGTTGACTTAAAGCATAGATGTAAGCTTGATTCTTTGATTTAGTTTCTTTCATGGTATAAAGGAAGAATATTTGACCAGTTCTAAAGGACACTTAGTGGAGGTATTCCTAGTGGAATCTGCTTGCTGGAAAAAAATAGTACTTTTTATGTAGACCAAAAATATTAGCAAGATGATACTCTTTATTAAAAGCAGTTATGTGAAATCATTCTGCTAGAACCTCAGTATTCATTTTACTGAAATCTTATCGACCTTTAGCCAACTTTTTTTTATTGATGCTTTACACCATTATCTCAAGAATTTTACAGTTCAGGGCCATATAAAACTTGAAAGTTTAAAAAATGAACCATATTAGTCCAACATGATTCCCCTTGTGATAGAGAGTAGTGCGTAAAACAGTTAAAAGACATGTCTTTACTTTGAGCTTTAAGAAAACTATTGAGTCCACATTTCCTGAAGTTTTCAGTGAAACACTTGATATTTCATGTGTTGCTACCAGAAGAGGGAGAAACTCCCTCTGCTCCTCCCACAGACATGTCCAACCTGTGGCCTGTGTATGGGGTCACTACCTGTGAATATAGTCCAACACTTAATCAGAAATTTACTTAAAACATAAAGAGATTTTTTTTTGAAATTTTTTCACAACTCAGCTGTACAGTTCTTGAGAATGAACTTTGTAGATGATCACATTGATTCTCAGTGTCAAAGGTTTTGACTCATATCTAAGACCTGGTAGTAGAAAGTGTCTTTTGCCCTTTTATATAGTGCAGCAATGAATAGTAAAGTGCCTATGCTTCTGACATTTGAGCAGGATGAAATTAATACCACCCACATCTGGGCTATAACTCCCCATTGCTCTGGTAACTACATAACTCCCTACAATGCGTACACCTTAGCTTTCTTTTCTCATTTGCTGTGGGGTTACAGTTTTTATTCTTAGAAACTTTTGTGTTATGATGGGAGATGACTGTTGTCAGAATAATCTAATGTTTGTATCTACATCAGTGCAGCATAAGTTATAGTGATATAATGGATAAATGTCAGGATATTATCCAAGAATTCAAAGCCAGCCTTTTTCAGATAAAGAGTGGGTCCATCCACAGGCACATCTAAACAAAGTCTGATATTTTTAGTTTATTTGAGATAAAGTCTTGCTGTGTCTTCTAGGTTGACCTCAAACTTCGATACTTAGGTGATTCCCCCTCATGAGCTTCCTGAAGAGCTGGGTCTATAGGCATACATCACTGCATCCAGCTAGTCTTGACATTTTCAGAAAGGAAGTAGAAAACAAAAATGGGAAGAATCTAACAAAAGACAGAGCCACTGTTATATTTTAATTCTGAACTTATCAGCATCTGCAAAAATTACAAAGGGCAACTGTTTTTAAGAAATTTACCTTTTTATACCTAGGTTCTTAAGACGTCGAAATTTTTCCACAAGTGGCTCATATAATAAAGTCTGGAGATGATCCCAGTCCTTAATGGAGTCTGGACTTTGGCTTTCTTTTTCTTCTTTAGGACTGAACCAGCTGCCCTTTGACCCTGCCAACAACAACGAACCCCTGCAGTTTGGTAGTGCCACTGGCCCTCTGGTCACAGATGGCCTCATTGAGAATGGAGGGGAATCGAGCAAGAAAAGAAAGAGAACAAATGCTCCTTCAGGTAAGCTAGGTCATAATGCACTGTCTTAAATCAGTGCTATTGAGTCCATATTTTCACATAGCGTGGTAGGTAGTGGATACTATGCTAGGCCTTGTAAGAATCACAGAAGCGAGTAAGTCCCTTGACCTTTTCATGGGATGGAAGTGTCACATATATGAAAAACCAGTAAGATAGAATATCAGTGCAAGGGGGAAAAGTGTATGGAAGCAAAAATGAGGGAAATTTTGATTCACCTTTAGAGACTGTGGAATGCTTCATAGGACAAGTGGAATTTTTAGCAGATCCTTGAAGAATGAGGAGACTTGAAGCAAGATGATATGAATAAAGAATTTTGAATTTTTTTTTTTAGAAAAGGAATGATGTGAGTTACTTTTTCACTACCCACTTCTCTTGGCATGTACGTGTGGCAGGCTATCCTCATTTTATGTCTAAATAAAAGAACTGTATGTATTTGAAATTCCCCAATGCCATCTCTGCCTCCTCCTCCAATACATACCATGTCCATATGTATATTGTTATTTTGAGACAGTATTTAGCTAAGGAGCCCAGGCAGGCCTCAGACTTACTGTCTTTCTCCTCAGTTTCCTAAGTTCTGAATTATAGATGTATACTACCATGCAAGTCCCACAAGCCTTTTTAAAAAATATTTTATTTATTATTTTATGTGTATTGCCTGCATGTATGTGAGTGCACCTGTGTCATGAAATGCCGTGGATGTCAGAAGAAGGCTTCAGATTCCCCTAGGACTGAAGTTAAGGATGGTTCGTAGCTGCCATGTGGGTATTGGGAATCGAACCCAGGTCCTCTGCAAGAGCAGTCAGTGCTCTTAACCACTGAGCCATCTCTCCAGCTCCCCCCACATGCCTTTTATGTAACCCTTAGCATCCTCTTAGAATTCCCAAAAAAGAGATTCTCCAAAATCCTCCAAAACAGCCCAATGAATTGTTTGCATCCCTGAAATCCTTCTCTCATTCCTCACACCCTACTGGCCTGTTCTCATCTTAAATTTCTCCAACCCAAATGAGAAAATAACAGGAAAACTAGATATTAGATGGTTATTTGATTTTATGTTTCATCATTCTATTGCTTATTCATTTGAAAATAGGTCATACACCAACCTGAGATCTTTAGACTTATGTAATAGACATGATCACAATTTTATTTTTATTTCTTGGTATTTACTATTACTTTTATTTTCAGCTTGTGAAGTACAGTATGTTTCTAATCATAGTATCATTTCTCTCTCTTATGTCATAGATCTTTCCTACTTATGAAAGTTTGTAAAAAGTACAATGTAAATCTTAGCTATATGGAACCTTAGTTCTGTGCCAGCTCAAACCAGACAAAATCCCACCTTAGACTTGGGAAAGTGAGTAAGAAATCCCAACACAACCTAAGGAACTTTGACAGTTGATGTCTGCTGGAAGGGAGAAAGACAATGTCTTACAGGGATGGGACCCTTGGTGGGCTCAGTGAATGAACCTACACTAAAGGACATTTGGGGCACAAATCAGATTCTATAGGCCATGATATGTATGTACACATATACATGCAAATACATATTAAATTGGGCAGGGGCAGTGGGAGGAGGTGTGAATAAGGGAGGGATCTAAATAACATCAAACTATATTGTATGAAAATTGCAAAACTTCAATTAAAAATTAATTTAAAAAAATAAAAATAAAGGACAGAACTTTATTTTGTAGATTTTAAAAGTAACAGCTTAAATATTAGCTATATGGAGCCCTTAATAAAGGACAGGGCTTTATTTTGTTGCATATGGAAAAACAAGATGGATAGCCCAGGAAATGACTTGCGTTCTAACCCTGAATCTGTTTCTTTTTCTGTCTCTGTCCAGTTTGTACTGCTCATATTCTCTTGAGTGTGTGGCCATCCAGTAGAGTGTAGTTGACCTACCAGGATCCACATTCTTAAAACAAACTCTCTCTCTCTCTCTCTCTCTCTCTCTCTCCCCCCCCCTCCAGCTATCAGTTATCAATAGTTCCTCAGCTAAAGGTGCGGCATTGTGCCCACCTCTCCCCTACATTCTAGGATTTTGTCTACCTTGAGCTTGCACAAGTCCTGTACATGCTGTCACAACCACTGTGAGTTCATATGTGCAAATGCCTTGTTCAGTCCAGAAAATTCTGGGGTTTTTTTTGTGGTCATCCACTGTCTCTTATCTTTCTGTCCCTTATTCAGTGAAGATCTCTGAGCCTTTGGGTGAGAAGGGGGTATGATATAGATGTCCCATTTAGGCCTTACCACTCTGCAGTCTTTTATTGTCTGCTGACTGACCAGTTATAAGCATCCACATATTTCACTTTTTAAGGTTAACTATTGTAGACACATATATGTGTTTGTGTGTGAACTTATTTCCCTTTCAAAAATGTATATTCCTCATAATTTAACTTTGCTTAATCATTTAGGGGCATAATTCTAGCTATTAGTTATGTAGTGTACTCTAATAGCCTATTAGTTTTCAAAGTTTACTAGGGAACATTACAGGACTTTTAGCTCTATACAGAAAAATGGTGGTTTTGTAGTTATCACAGTTACATTTTATATAAGGCCTGTTTCTTTCCTGCCATCTGCAGTCACTTATTCTTCTCAGTGTCTCTTCATGTAGCAATTCTTTTTCTTTCCAATTAGTTTTAAACTTTAAACAAAAAAAACCAAACCAAACATCTCATTCTGCTTTCCAAGTTGATTTGCTACATTTGTGTATTAAATAAGAGCTAGATCAACTGTCAGTAGAACCTGCCATGGATAGAGTCCACCAGTTTAGAGCATCAACTTTAACACATCAGTTTTCTCTGCTCTGAAATTTTTGGTCACTTACTAATTTTTCCACTGTAATCAGAAGTGATGGACTAGTTTCAGGTAATACCTCACTAACTGTAGTATAGTCATGAGGGTGGAAAAGGGGGGTGTGTATTAATCTGAATTATGAACCAGCTTTAAAGAATTGACATTTTAGTTCTAATGAGCATAGTCAATGAGAATAAAGTTAACTGTTGCAGATAAAGCACTTTAACAGTAGATTACACTAATCTATAATTAGCTGAAGCAATTTGCATCAAATAATGAATATGCTGAAGCTCCCTAAAAACAGTATGTTCTTTAAAATAAGTGGAATAAGCTGCTGGCAGGCTAAATTAACTTTCTTAAAATCTTGTTCTCACTATTTGCTTAGTGAGCCCTTTCTTTGTTAAATAGTACAAAGGTAACTCCAGCCTGGGTTAAAAATGACCACAAATTCCAAATTAGTGTAGTCTAAATTAATGAGGCTTTATTATACAGGGAGTCTCTTGTAATTGTTCAACTGGCAATACTGTGATATTGTAAATGAGTGGGGTAGATTTCTTTATAATATTACTTCCTTCCTCTGAGGTACTAGACAAAAGGAAGAGGGAAGATGATTTGTGAATAGCAGCTTCTTTCATTTGTCACCATTTCCTGCAGTGTGGCAAAGAGGAAAGCTAGGGTTTGAAGTTCTCATAGGAGCTACCAGCCATTTCAGTCTGAGCTCCCGTTTGTCTAGCCATTGTATCTCTTGACCCTACTGAGTCAAAGCTGGTTCTTGCTCCCTCCTTCAGTAAAAATGAAGCAGAGCTGCAAATGAACTGCAGCTCCAGTTCCTCAGTACACATCTTCTTTCCTTCCTTTCTCATTCCTACTATATTGCCCCTTTTCTACAAACAGCTTGGCTCCTTTTGCACTAATCCTGATGCCTTGAAGTTTATCAATGACTTTTGCTGCTGTTTTTTTATTCCTAAGGTTCATGCTGGAAGCTTTGTATGACACTTTTGAGGTGATGAAACCTTGAAAATACAGACCATAGTGAAAGGCAGTTAGGTCGTGAGAAATCCACCCTCAAGAATGGATTAATGTTGGTCTTTTTCAGTAGGTCTTGTCTTGCAGGAATAGACAGACTTCCATGAAACCATGTTGTTATAGAAGAGCAAGCCTAGCCTCTTCCTGTTCTCTTGATTTCTTGCTTGCTCATATGCCCCTTCTCCACTCCTCTGGTTTACTTTCTACTTCTCTGCAATATATTGATACAATCAAATGGAGGTGCAGTGGTATTTGGACTTTCTTACCACCAGAATTATGAACCAAATCAACATTTTTATAAAGTAACTAGCCTTGAATGTTTTATTATTGCAGCACAAAATGGTGTGAGGCAACCTCAACAACCTCAAAGTTTACCGGCCTTTAGGTGATTTTTAAAAGCACATTTTTATTATATTTATGTGCAGAAAACTCGATTACATACATTTTACCCAATTTGGCAGTGAGTTCTTTGGCTTTGGCCTTTTCCAACTTGATAATATAAGTCATAGATTTGAAACCTAGAATATTGCCTCCCCAGTGATGGCAGATCTCATTGTATTTGAAACTGTAATTGATCCTGATAGCTTCCACCAGTTTAGCCAGAGCTCCTTTGTCTTCTGAGTTAACCTATGTGAAGGCAATAATAGTACGTAACTTCCTATGGAACAGCTGCCCCAGCCTGACCTTCCCCTTAATGATGCAGTAGGAAACTCCCCTCTTGTTATACAAAGCAGACAGAAAGACCACAAACTCAATGGAGTCTACATCATGGATGGTCATCACCAGCTGAACCTTCTTATTCTTCACCAAGGGAGTAACAGTACTGACGCCTGCTCAACGTACAGGAGGTGTCTTAATGGGGACATCCCCTTTGCCAGCAGATTTCTTTTTGGCCCATGCCAACAGCCTCTGCTTCTTCTGCTTTATCTCTGGCCTATACTTAAGGGCAAGCTTAGCATCTGGGAAGCTATTTCACTCTTCAGAGCCTGGGTGACCTGGTTAATCATAGGAGACACTTTTAACTGTGTATAGAGGAGAACCCTTTGCTGCCATGGCTGTATGTAGTAGGGCCGTTCAGCAAAGCAGCTGAGGTCTGTTTTGAACTACATGTCTTATCTTGTGCCAAAGTACTTAGACCTTTTCTCAGACAGTGGATACATCAC